ATTTCCATACACTAGTCATAGACTATGTCTATGGCATTTGATTCAAAATGCTCTAACAAGATTTGGAGTTTTGAAGAGTGATGACACATTCAAAGTTGCTTTCACGATGATTGAGTGGTTGTATTAACGAAGCTTAGTTTGAAGTATGTTGGGATTCAATGATGACAAAGTACAAGTTGAAAAACGATAGTTGGTTCAAGAGGTTATACTCACTAAAGCATAAGTGGTCAACATCTCTAAGTAAGGACTTTTTTCCGCGGGAATCTTGTTGTCACAGAGAAGTGAGAGCGCAAATCATGCAGTGGGATTCAAAGCAAACAGGAAGACAAGTTTGACAGAATTCTACAACATATTTCAAAAGACAATGAAGACTTGGAGAAGGAATGAGGATTTTTATGAGTTCAATAGCACAAAATCAATTCCTACTTCAAGTTATCCGATGTCTGCCTTACTTAAACATGCTGCTGAGGTTTATATACATACATTATTCAGGGACTTTGAAGAAGAATTCAACCAGCCATTGGATCTCAAACTAAACTGCTATTGATTAATGGAGGCAAAATGGTTTACCAAGTGTACCTTGAAGGCAGAGATGGCACAACTCAAGCAGTAACTTACGATCCAACAAACCAAACAATTCAATGTCCATGCAAGAATTTTGAAGATTCGGGTTGGTTATGCTTCCATAGCCTTAGAATCTTGCTCATGCATTCTGTTGAAAAAATCCCAGAGCAATACATATCTTTCAGGTGGACTAAAATGGCTAAGGTTGAAGTTTTGAAAAGTAAGGAGGAAGAGCAAAAGAAGAAGGGGACATTAAAAAACTTCACACCCTGGCGGCTACACATGCTGAAGAAGTATTATAGTCTAATCCTTAAGAGCCACAAGTTTGAACAAGCAAGAAATGTCTTAAAAGAAAGCTTCACAAAAGATTCAAGTGCAATAGATGAGATTATTTCTGCTATGAAATTAACTAACAACCATTCTGAGAACACTATAGGTGTAGAAGATAATCCAGAAGCAACTTCATCTAGTGTTGTTCAAGTACTGGACCCAACTCGTGCAAAAACTAAAGGAAAACAATCAAATAAATGGATTCCAAGAAGCTATGACTACATGAAAAAGGGGAAGAGGAGGAAGCATAGGGAATTTGGTGCCAAAACACCAAATATTAATAATAAGTATATGCTCTAATAGTCTAAAGACATCAAATTTTGTCTTAAGAACACCAAATCTTGTCATAGTAACATGTATTGTTACATAGTTACGTTTTATTTATAATTTCATTATTTTTGGAAACTTTATATCTTTTAAAGACTGATTATTATGATATAATGTCGTTTGTGATTGACATAGTAAACTTTCATTTTGAGGTATAAATTTTTTGGAATAGTAACGGATATTCTATTTGGTGGCCTCGTGGTTTTAAAAATTCTACATGGAAGACGAACTTTTTTTGGACTCTCTTTAGTGACACTGTGGTTTAACATAATTGATTTTAGTGGCCTTATTATCATTAAATGGGCTAACCAAAAATAAAATGGGTTAACCTTTGATTTTTTAAAAAATAAATTTAAAAAAAGAACAAAAAAATTCAGAAATCCCAGCCCCAACCTCTTTCCCTTCCCTGACCACCACATCCCCACCGCCCACCGGCCAACCCACACTGCACCTCCCCTTACCTGTCACGCCAGCCACCCTGCTCACCCACCATCGAATCCCCTAACCCTCGAAAACCAACCTACCTGAAACCTAGCCCAGAAACCTCCCCGACCTGAAACAAAGCCCAAAACAACCGCATGCACAACCGACAACACCAAACAACCACCATCATAACCAGCCTAAACCGTCAGCTGGAGCACCAATCTCCACCTAATCATCAATTCGCCACCTGCAATCACCAATTCGCCACCCTTAATCACCAATTCGCCACCTGCAATCACCAAACAACCACCATCACCACCAACCTAAACTTTGAATTATGCTTCAATTTAAATACAAGGATGGTGAGTTCACGAGGGTGGTGGTTCAAGGGGGAAGGGGAAGGGCCGACGGGAAAGTCAAGGAGTGCGGCCGACCAATTTTCGTCGAATTTAGGGTTTAGTGGTGGGGGTGGCGGTGGTTTCGTTAGACTTCGTAGTTGTTTTGGGATCGGGGTGGCGGTTTTGGGGGTCAGGGCTAGGTCAGGTGGGGTTGTAGAAGGCCGGCCGGCCAGTTTTGGTGGTATTGGTGGTCGGGGGTTGGGTTGGAAGGTGGTTTCGGTGTTCGGGGGTGGCCGAATCCCGGCAAGGTAAAGGTTTACGGGGTGGCTGGGAATTTTTGGGAATTTTTTTGTTTTTTTTTTGTTATTTTTTTTTTAAATTTTATTAGTTTAAAATATAATTTATATATTTTTTTATTAAAAAAATCAAAGGTTAACCCATTTTGTTTTTAGTTAGCCTATTTAATGATAATAAGGCCACTGAAATCAATTATGTTAAACCACAGTGTCACTAAAGAGAGTCCAAAAAAAGTTCGTCTTCCATGTAGAATTTTTAAAACCATGAGGCCACCAAAAAAAATATCCCATCTTTATTCCTAATAGCAATCTTTATTTTATAATCTTGTATTGTCAGTTTTTCACCATAAATTAACATATAGTCCATAATTTTGACATAGTTACCTTTATATTTAGAATAGAAACCTTATTAATAAAATAGTGACTTTAATTATTTTAACATATAATGACATACTATAATTACCATTAATTTAACATAGTCCTTAATTTTGACACTATACAATATCGAAGACGAAGTGAACTTTTTTTAACCAAACAAAGACCTTATAAATAATATAGTGACTTTATTTTAACATATAGTGACTTATGATAATATAGTGACATTTCATCGTAAATCTTTCAATATATATTTAACCTCTAATATTACATAGTTACCATTATTATCACATAAAGACCTTTATAAAGATAAGTTTAAAATAACAATTCACATTAACATAGTCGTCCGTTTGTTAATATAGAGACCTTTTTTTCAAAGACCTTTTTATTTTAATAACAGAGAACATTAATAATTGAATTACACAAACAATATACTATTTTCATAAAATGTTGGCAAATGCTTGTTTACACAAAATGAATATTTTTCCAATCTTCAATAACTTGCACAAATATTGAATTAATACTATTTAGCTATACAATGTTCGAAGTACTTTGCTTAGCATCAGAAAATTATGATCATAACTAAGTCAAAAAATTAGTTACACAATGTTTTGACATCTTAAGCCTTCCCCTTTCCTTTCTTCATCTTGTCTTTAGTCGGCCTCTTCTTATTCTTCCTCTCTTCAATCTCTTTCTTCAACCTCTTTTGAAAGATGTTGTCTATCAGGTTTGAATTCAACCATCTTACAAATTATAATTGATCTAGCTTCATTCATATCAGATAACACTAAAGATGCAGCAATTTGAATTCGGAGAATCTTCCTATATGAAGCCTAAAAAAGTAAGTAATCAATATAAGATATTGTGATATTAATAAAAAGAAATAAAACAAATAATTTAAAAGGGAAAGAATCATAACCGTTTTTACAATTTCACATTTAAACTCATCAGCTCCATTGAATAAAAGCATGCTCATTATAATATAAACACCAAAATCTGAATTATCATTGTTAGATCTCCAATTCAAAGTAGGAAACTCCAAAGCTTAGTCAGCCATAGCTCCAGATTGAGTAAGCCTTTGATCAAAGAAGGTACTGATCATATCACATTAGCAAAAAAGCATATAATCAGATCACAGTCGCATTAAACGATCTATTAAGAGTCATTATAACAACCATGCTGCAACTTTATGTTCACTATCAGCTAAAATGTTTCCTAACAAAGTTCAGACCACACAAAATGCAGATCAAGATCAAGAAAGATCAAATCCTAATAACAGATAAGATGATCCTAATACTCCTGCTATCACAACAGGAAGCATCACAACAGCCACAAAAGCACCAGACTAGAAAAGAGTGAGAATATGTGGCTCACTATAAACAAGTCAATAGAAACAATAAACTTAATTGTGAAAATATGGAAGAGTGAGAAAGTAATACCAGGAGACTAGACAACTTTTTCAAAAAAGATACTATCCTCATCATAATTCAGATTATCAATAAACTGAATTTTTTCTTTAGTCAAATTCACCACAAATAAGCAATAGTGATTGCCCCAAAGACAAGGTAAAAATATCTGCAACAATAATACCACCATTAGTCAGCATAAAAAACCCACATATAGATTCCATTTTTGATATTATAGTGACATCTTTTAAAAATATACTTATACAATTTTCAATAGTCACTCTCATTTAAAAAAAGGTATCTATAACATAAAAAAAAGTACTATATAATTTTCAAAGCATAAAAAAACAGAAAGTATTACCAGCTCCACTTCTGACAAATTAAAATCATTGCAAGCTATTTTCATCCACTCCTCCAAACCCTGATAAACATTGTCCATTAGTTGTGAATTGCCATCACCTATTGTAACCTTCATAATATTTTAACAAATAAAAAAAAGTAAAAAGTATAAACATGTATAAACATTGAAATAATTAAACAACTCACACTAATTGAAGAACCAAAGTACGATTTGCGAGGTCCACCTTCAAATATTTCTAATTTTCATTGAGAAGCAATGCCCATCAATCCACAAATACTACTGCTCATGATTTCAGAAGGCTCTCCTAATGTGTAGAATTCTTGCCTTTGAATCAAATGCTTTTCGTGAAAAAATACCAACAGTTCACTTAGTCAAAGAGTATAAAATAAGAATTAAAAAGGTGTTTCATAAATAAATAAATAAGAGAAAATCAATGTAATCAAACAAAAGATTACTTACTTAGGAGCCAAACAAGAATCATTGATAATGCAATAGTCAACAATCTCTAGGACTAATGGATCCAATAGCTTTATTTCCTTGTTATTTGACTTTAAAAAGTGTGAAATGAGTATAAGCTTTTCATCAGATTTCCAATCTAAAGAAAACAAACACATGGACCTTCCATTTGCAAGAATATATTCAAAGCCAATCACAGGCATATTGCCTCTAATTGCCTTTCTCCCTCCATTTGTTTTGTTGTGGTCAAATGTAGAAATTTGATCCAAAACCTCATGTAATTTTGTCACCCAAATAGCAAGTTCAGAGATCTCATCAATGACAGATTGAACTCGAGGATCCATAAAAAAACGAATCATCTTGGGATAATTTAATACCAGGAGAGTTGTTGGCCTCACCACGTGAAAGAAGAATCTCTTTTATCTTGTCATTATAAAAACAAGAGATCACATGCATATCTCTTTTCATGAACAAAAATTGCTCATGAACGGGCTGCAAAAACATTAAAAAAAACATGTATAAACATTTAAATCATATCCAATAATAAAAATAATAATATAGAATAAAAGTCAGCTACTCCTTACATCAATAGCAGCCGAATGGATCTCTTGATCTGACATCGAAGCTGATGGGAGAATGAACTGTATTGTACCCTGGGAATCAGGCATATCAACACTCCCCCCGACATTCCTCACAACATTATAACTCCCCCCAACATTCCCAATACTCCCCCCTGCAGTACCCAGTACATGTCCATCCAGAAACTTCAGTTTACCACTAATAGGACACACACCAGAGAGTAAAATCCCACACCCAGAACTTTTGGACAATTTTTCCTTCTTAATTTTATCCCTAATCAACTCATCATTCCAATGTTGAATTAAGGGTAAAGAATTACTTAATTCAACATTCCTAAATTTCCACCTATGGAAGTAAATAATCTCCAACATCAAAGTACAACCACAACAGTTCTGAATTTCTCCTTTTTTGTAACTTTTAACACCTTCACACAATTTTCAAGAACATATTTACACCAATTCAATTTCTTAATTTGTTCAACATCATCAAGTGTCTTGACAATCCTAAGATCAGCGGTTCTGTTAGAAGTAGGAGCTAAAAACGTGGATATTGCATGCATAACAAAGAGTTGCTTAATCTCATCTCCACCTTGACCTAAAGTAAGTATCCTAGCTTCTAAAAAATTAAGTGTAATTTGATCATTTTCATCTGTCAACCCAAAATGCAATCTCCAGACATATTGAAAACAAAGGCTGGATTATTTTTATTAGCAGATTTAGGTATCTCCTCAACATTTTTGGGGTTCAAAGGAAGGCAAAACACGTCATACACATCATACTCATTCACCACAAATTCCTTATTATTATCGATTGAAAACATGCAGCTACCACAGTAAAAAAATTAGCCACCTGTACATACTAGTAGGATTCCTTTTCAACTTCAATGATAACAACCCTCCAAAACCGATTTCATTTACAGAATTTTTTTGATCAACAGTAAAGTTAGACATCATGTCAACCAAATGCAAAGGCCTACATTTAGTTTTAAATGGCCGCAATCTACAAAATAGAAATAATAATGCTATCAACATTAAATCAACATCAAGTTAACAAATCAAAAAATCAATGCAGTCTGACAAGATCAAATTAGTGGCCAATAATTAAAGATCAAAGAAGCACAACTTAACCATAATCCAGTCCCAAATTTGCATAGTCACACCAACATACATGTTGAATCTAACTTTTTGAGAGCACTCCAAAGTAAACAAAGTTACTTATGTAGGTAAATCACCACCAGATTCACCAGCTTCAACTATTGATTTCTTAGTTCTTGTGCTTGGCTTCTTAGGACGAACAAGAGCAACAACTTCAGCTTCATCTTCATGAGTTCTCTTACGACGAGATGAAGGTGAACCAATTGCAGAAACTTGATGCTCAAGAACATCTTCATGAACCTCTATAGCAACACTCTTTTTCTTATTAACTCTAGTTTTCTTCTTCAAGCCTTTGGCATCATTATTAAACAAAAGAAATCAATATGTAAATTATAGTGACCTTTCTAAAATAATAATGACCAGAAAATTTAAGACCAGAGAATCACATAAATCAACCCTAAAAAATAGAACCATTACAAATTACGTAAAGCAGGCCAGTAACCAAAGTATCCAAGCTCGAAAATCCGGTAAACTTCATTCAAACAGCAGAGACAGAAAACTAATGAATTAATAGTGAAAACATCATCGAGCACAAATCATCATCGAGTACAAACCATCATCAAGTACTGAAACTAAACTCAAAAACAATAAATCAACGACGAAAACAACTAAATCATGAAAAAAAATAAAAATCAATCAAAATTTAACGAGAAAACAAACAGCTAAACAATCGAAACAAAATTCAATCGAACATTTATTGTGGTTTTATGTGTTCAATAGAACAATAAACAGATAAAATAATCGAACATCGGAAAACCCTAGATCTTCAAATAATCTTCAATACGAAACAAAATTCAAACAAAAATTCATGCAAATAGTTTCAATTAAAGAAAAACAACAATTAATAAGCTTAAAATTGCAGGAATCAAATGATAAACAAAGATTATGCCAGAAAGTGGTTGATCTACTTTTGTAGCTGAAGAATGAAGGCTTCTTCTTCGGTGAAATGTGCCACCACCTCGAGTTCTTGCCATTGAAGAAGAATTCTAGCAATTTTACAAAAATAGCAAAGCTATGAAGAGAGAGAAAATGGAAGAAGGGAAGCTTGGAAGAGAGAGAAAGTGTAAGCCTGCGTTTTTGTGAAAAGAAAGAAAGGGAGGTGCGTTTTGGCTGGTAATAGAGGAAGTAAGATGTTGGAGAAATAAAGGGAGGCACGTGACAATTCTGGTCCATTGTGGACCAGGTTTATTTAAGAATAATCAAATACATTTTTGTTTCTTAATAAGTCATTTCGAATGTGTGTGTGTATATATATATATATATATATATATATATATATATATATATATATATATATATATATATATATATATATATATATATATAATAGATTTATTCTTTAAAATTCTAGTGATAGATAGACCATGTTTACTCCACCCTTTTTTTTTTACTAAATTGAAACTATTTTTGCTGATCGAAATTATTTTTTTGAACTAAAATTATTTTCATGATTCTCAATTATATTTATTTTCAAAAGTTATAGATTTTTACAGAAATTTACTTATTTTTACTAAACTTAAATTATATTTATTGAACTGAACTTATGTTTACAAAGCTAAAATTATTTTTACTGAATGTTATTTTTTGTAAGTAAACTAAACAGGGCATTACTTAGATAAAATCATACTAATATATACTATTATTAGAGTAACTTAATTACCTTCAGTAATTATGGGAAAATATTTATGTTGAGATACTTTCAACAACCCCATATATATGCACACGATATATATTAAATAAAAATAAAAATTCAATTCTAGATGTTACATAGGTTTGGGCTTAAGTAGAGATAAATTCAACTAGCTTATACGATGATATGCATATTAAAAAATTATTCACTTTTTTAAATGTCTATATTTGCTAAACTTAAATATTTTTAATGAACTAAAATTGTTTTAAAGTATGGGTCAATTAACCCACTTTGTTTTTAGCAAATAAATTATTATTTTAAATATTAAAAAAATAAAAAATACTAAATTATATCATTTGGGAAAAATAATACGCAAATTTTGAGCTCTCTATTAATACACACATTACACAAAATTATATTTGTAATCTATGTGCAATATATATATATAGTATACATGTAATTTGACGTAATTTGTAAAATTTAAATAATTTCACCTTTATATTACATCCTTGAATAAATTAAATATTATTAATTTTATTTAAATTTTCATATCTTATTAACTAAATTTATTTCAACTATAATAACGATGTTTTATATGCACAAACATTGTTTTAGTGAAGAAACATATACACTTTTGTAATGACTTATAAAACGAAAGTGTAATTTATTTTTATAACGAATTACAATTTTGTTTCTCACTAAGTCATATATATATATATATATATATATGTATATATATATATATGTATATATATATATATGTATATATATATATATGTATATATATATATATATATATATATATATATATATATATATATATATATATATATATAGGGGTGGGATCATGTGAGAACCAAGGCTTATATGAGAACCCTCTTAAAATAAGAACCAATCTTACACCATCAATTTTGAGGTTATGGATGGCTGAGATTATTTATCACTTTCCCATGCATTTTCTTGGGAACACGCATTTCAGTCATTGGTACATGCTTTTTAATTTTTTTGGGAACACGCAGTCATTGGTACATTTCACACATATGGTATGGAACAATGTATAATATTTATGGGACAATAGTTCATATTTCTGGAATAATATAAATAATATTCGAATGAAATATTATATGAAACATCAATGATTTTTATGTATAAAACAAAATCAATAGTATATGAAACAATACATATATTTTATGGAACACAAGTAGTATAAAATGAAACATAAAGTATGTTTTTTGAAACATCAATAAGGTATAAGAAATCAAAGTAAACCTAGTTCATAAAGAGCCCAACTATATGAAACAAGCAATAATATATATGAAACATTAATATTATAAATTGAAACACTTGATATATTTTACGAAACATCATTAATGACGTACACTTCAACTACATTTTAATGTAACGTTCGAATTTATGTGAACCTTGCATTTTACTGAACAATCTATTGGTTTTCCAATGCAAATTAACATGTTTCAATGCAATAAATAATAAAAAGTATATAATAATGACAGCTTTTGACAGATTTTGTGTCCCAATACAAAAAACAATATCATTAGTATATGAAACAACACATATATTTTATGGAACATAAGCACTATAAAATGAAACATAAGGTATATTTTTTGAAACATCATATAAGGTATAAAAAATCACAGTACACCTAGTTCATATAGAGCCCAACTATATGAAACAGGCAATAATATATATGAAACATTAAATTATAAATTGAAACACTTGATATATTTTACGAAACATCATTTACGACGTACACTTCAACTACATTTTGTGTTTCAATGCAATAAATAATAAAAAGCATGTAATAATGACAGCTTTTGACAGATTTTGTGTCCCAATGCACAAAAATTAAAAAAAAAATACAAACAATCATCACAATTAATGAAGGTGGCCCACGTGAATTCCCACTAATGAAACAATAAATCTGAACCATTCATCTAATAAAAATGAATGGTGTTAGATGAGTTCTCATTTTAAAATGGTTCTCACCTAAGCCATGGGTTCTCACATGATCCCATTTCTATATATATATATATATATATATATACACATACATACATATATATATATATAAATTAATTTATATTTGATTAAAAATAAATATTTGATATTAGGCCCTTATGCCATTGCAAGACTAGTACTGAATTATATAATTTGGGAAAAATAATACGCAAATTTTGAGCTCTCTATTAATACACACATTACAAAAAATTATATTTGTAATCTATGTGCAATATATATAAAGTATACATGTAATTTGACGTAATTTGTAAAATTTAAATAATTTCACCTTTATATTTACATCCTTGAATAAATTAAATATTATTAATTTTATTTAAATTTTCATATCTTATTAACTAATTTTATTTCAACTATAATAACGATGTGTTATATGCACAAACATTGTTTTAGTGAAGAAACATATACACTTTCGTAATGACTTATAAAACGAAAATGTAATTTATTTTTATAACGAATTACAATTTTGTTTCTTACTAAGTCATTTTTGTTATGTAATTCATTTATATATATATATATATATATATATATATATATATATATATATATATTTTACACAATAAATTTATTTATATTTGATTTAAAATTTAAAATTTGATATTAGGCCCTTATGCCATTGCAAGACTAGCACTACAAACTCAATGCTAATGCGCGTTTTTAATTTATAAAGGAAGTGATTTGATTGAATAATGATAAAAATTATTATGATGAAAGTAATGTGTAACTTCTTAATTAAAGATTAGGAATAGCAGTTTTAAAGTGCATTTATTAAGCTAATAACAACATGATGATAAGTGATAAAGAGCTTTAAGTGGGACAAATGCCTAAAGCATTTCAATATCTATTAAGACAAAATCAAGCTCCTAAACTTTATTATACTCATCAAGTTTAGCTGAAAATTGCATTGTTACATCACTAACAGTGTGTTTGGTATGGGATTAGTATAGGAAGGGGGGGGGAGGGTAGCAAATAGTGTTACCCTTACTAGTTATTTGGTACAACAAAGGAAATAGAAACAATTATCGCCATTTCGTTTCCCCTTGTTTGGTATAACAAACGGAAACAGAAAATAAGAATGAATAACAACTGAAAAAATATAGCAAAGTTGGCACTTTGGCACTCATTTTAAATATGTAAACATTGACTAATATGTCATTCATAATCATATGATCATCATTTGAATAATCCCAACATAGAACCTATATTACTCAAGTCTGGAAAACAAATTTATACATAAAAACTTCATAAACATAAAAAGCTGAAAGATCAATGAAATTTGAGTTTCAACTACTACCAATTTAGCTATATGCTTTAGCTATAAGTTTTTTTTTGCTTTATTACTACTTCTCTCCTGCATATTTTCAACAAAAAACGAGACATAGTAGCAAGGCAAAACCTCCACTTCTCTACATCTTCTCAAAGAGCTTCCTCACATAATATATAGCACGCAACCAAATTCAGCAGAATATCAACAAAAGAGAAAAGAAAACTTCAATCGAACAAGCAAGTAAAGAATTCAAATCAGAAAACGAAATTGATATCGTATAAACCCTAGAAATTGAACAAGCGAAAGTGAAGAATTTACCGTACTTGAGATTGTAGAATTATGTAGATTTTAGGTAGAAAACTGAAAATTTTGGAGCGAAATCAGGACAATTGCAGTTTTCTTGGGAGAATTTTCAGAAAAATTGTCGATCAAAGTTGGGAATTTGTTGAATGAGAGGAGAGAGGAGAGAGAAAAGTTGTTTCCCTTATTTTACTTTGGAAACGTCATTTGTTTCCCCTTATTTTACTGTGGAAACAAAATAATGGAAACGGTTAGAGCCAGGAAACGGTTTTTGTTTCTTTAGCCATTAAACAAACACGTCGTAAGGGAAACGGTAATTGATTCCGTTTCCAACTCTACCAAAAACCCATACCAAACACCCCCTAAATGGTGAAAGGTCCAAAATTACGAATTCAATTTGTGTAGATGAACACTTACCAATGAATATATAGTTCATTAAGCTAAATATGTTAATTTCACTTTCGAAATTAAATTCTCAAGCACTTAATTGAAAAACTAAAATTAAATTAAAAAATCCAGAATTATAATTTAAAATAAATTAAAAAATAACCAAATTAAATTAAAAAATCCAGAAATATAATTAAAAATAAATTAAAAAATTCAGAAATTAAATTTAAAATGTTGAAAAAAGTTATACCAAAATAACCTACTTTCAAAAAATACAAAGTGACAAGCAATCTTCAACATACACGCGGTACTTGAAATAGATGTAATGCTAAAACAACCAAACAAAACAAGGTGATAGTGTGACATATAGTGTTAAGCGGGGCAAATGTCTAAAGCATGTCAAATTATATCAATTAGAGAAAAATCGAGCTCCTAGACTTAATTATCCTCATCAATTTTTTGATTAAAACAATTAAGCATAGTACATGTGTGATACACGTTTATATATAAATCATACTCTGATCCAAGATCAAGAA